TGTGCGCGTGTGCGTGTGCGTGTGTGCGTGTGCGTGTGCGTGTGTGTGTGCGTGTGCGTGTGCGTGTGTGTGTGCATGTGTGTGTGTGTGTGTGCGAGGAATCATGCAATGAAAACACCAATAGTCAAGATTGCACAATCTCACAAAAGACCAAACATGATTGAGCCGAGTTGAAAGCTGAAAACGAAAGCTAAATGCAGTTTAATGCACACCAAGTAGGAGCAAACAATACACCGAAGTCTCTTGATAAACAAAGCCCGTCATCCGCCTCCGATCATCAACACAACAACAATGTAGCAGCCCCACTTGCGGTGTGACTGCCCTATCTACTTCCTACTATGTCTACCATGCTAGCCTATCTACAATCCGACTATTTGTCCACATGTCACTCGCCCAAAGCTGCTTGAAGACTCTACTCATACAGGCTTCCCTCACGAACACCGGGTAGCCAGTCCTCACTGCCTTCTTTCTTCCGCGACCTCCACACTTCGCCACTCCGACTTCCTGCATCAGCTATGGCTGAAGCCCACTACAGCCACCGCAGCTGCTCTTCTTCATCCTCGGGTGCTGCATTGCTCCGCCGGAGCAGCAGCGCTCATGCTTGCAGCCTCGCTGCGCAAATGTCCAATGCAGCACGGCCTTGCTGTAGAGGATGCTGTGTCCCAGTAGGTAGTGCCTCAGTCCTATTGGGTCAGCATGCAGGTCCCAGCCTCTTCAACTAACTCGTGGGCCGGGCCCACCATATAGTTGCAGAGGTTGGCTCCTGCCAACAAACCAGGGCCCCTTGCCAGCCTTCACTTAGAGCTGGCGTGAAAATTTTACGCCCACGTTCACTTAGGGTGGCCTGGCCTTGTTGGCGAGGGGCTGAAACAGCCTAGCGGAGGCCTGGAGCGTCTCTCTCTCTCTCTCTCTCTCTCTCTCTCTCTCTCTCTCTCTCTCTCTCTCTCTCTCTCTCTCTCTCAAACACACACACAAGCATTCAACCCTCCTCTCTCCTCTCATCCACCTCCGTGACCTCCCCTTTGACCAGCACAGCCCAGAAGTTCAGCACTGCCATGATGTCTGTGGATGCAGGTGCAAACACCACTGAATGAAATTGCCAACGTGAAAGCCAGTTTTTGAGTGTTGCCCTCGTATGATGCAAATGGCACTGAATGACCGTAAACCCTAGTGTGAACACCAGCACACATGCCAGAGTGAAGTGAGGTGTGCCTGCTGTGTGACTGCTGATTTGAACCTCCTTGCGACTCGCAATGTGAAGGCAAGTGAGTGACGGCAATTACAAGCATGAATGTCAATGCACATGGCAAGGGCACGTCGATGTGATGTTGGAGTTTCTGACATGATGCTCCCTTGCGCCCACCTCTCATTCTGATCTCATTCTGATTGAAGTAACTGAAATGCATCCTTCCTTGTTGAACAATTGCCTCCGTTAGCCTGTTTTCAATTGCAATAAATCGGTCTCCCTCAGCCTATTCTAATAAACAGGGGCACGCTATTCTTACAATTGAAATTGAAGTGTGAGGCGCGTGGCACAAATTCAACACACCTTTTATTTCCTCACCCCACGGCAAGCCATTCATGTAACTTCAATAAATAACTAGCTGCTCAGCCTGCTCTCCATTTCACTCCCCCATGTACTTCAGAAGGAAGAGGACAGAGCAGCAATGAGGTAGATGAGACGATGAAGAGAAGGAAAACTAGAGGAGTGAGGGACAAGTGGAGGAGGAATGGAAAGGCAGAGCAGAGAGCAGACGAATAGAGGAGCAAAGAGGTAGAGAGGACAACTAGACCCAACAGTGATTGGAGGAAGAATGCAGCGAAAGAGTGGAGAGCAGAAGAGTAGAGGAGCAGAGAAGCATAGGCTAGCAGGAAAACAAGGAGGAGAGACGGAAGGAGAGTACGGCAGCAGGACAAGAAGGTACAAGGGGAGGAGGAGACAGAGTTAGAGTAGAAAAGAAGTGTAGATAGCAAAGGAGTGTCCCCAGACTCTGCCAAATGGCTACTCTCAGCAATGTTTAATCGACTGAAAACTCAGAAGAAGGGCAAATGGCTTCGGCCCTAAATGTGACGATACTGGCGAAGGATATGGTATGCAGCAACAATTTGGATAAACTCCAGGAATGCAAAGCCTATGCGAAGCCTAAGCAATGCCTATGCGAAGCCTATGCGAAGACAGAATTAGGCAAGCACCACCAATCTTCCTCTGGACAACTGCTCCAGCAAAAGATCGTTCGGTAGCAACGTACTTAGCTCCTGCAACCTAAACCCAAGTACTGCAATCAAAGTCCATCATACGGTTATTGTTTTTTTTCAGCACGAGCTTCTGTGGCATTACCTACTGTCTTCCCTTGAATAGAATGCGCATTCATTGTCACTACATCTAGACTAAAAGTTGCCCCAAATATGGCTATAATGAGCATGCGTTCGATTCAGGTGAAGACAATAGTACTCAGACAAATTGGGCCAATAGGCATGCAAGGGGTGGGGGTATTTTGGATAGTGAAAAAAGACTGGTCTCTCCCAAAGCATAAAGAAAGCGAATAGGATAGGGATGAGAGGACAGATGAGGTAACTGACGATGAGAACAGGAGAGAATTTTGGGAAGAGATTTAGTTGATTAAAGACGCATTTTCCGCCAACGAAACATCGACCAACCGAAAACCAAGGCAAAAAACCATGGTAACCGCGGACCGGACACCGGACACTTCCGGACTGTCTTCCGGACCAGTGTCTAGACCGGTCCGGACTGTCCGGTGATCCGGACATCACCGGACACCCGGACATCACCGGACCCGAATGGTCCGGACCGGTGTCAGGGGTTGCAAAATATCCGGACCAAAAAAAAAAAAAAAAAAAAAGAAAGGGGGTCGGTGGGTGAAATTGCTCAGGCCTGTGTGAAACCCGCCACGCCAAAAACCTGCAGTCTCTTGTGTCCGGACCTGTAGGCCCTGTCCAGAGGGATGAAACAACACTGAAAAATCACCCCGCCATTTTTCAAGGGGCGTTGGACCCGGTTTCCAGCAGGTGTTGCTCCCCACCAATAGATGGAGCTGTTTCGCAAAAAAAAAAAAAAGGGGCGGCCAGGACCCGAAAAACGTCCTGGGCCGCCCTTTTTTTTTTTTTTTTTTTTTTTGCCTTGGGGACATCCATCTGGACATCACGGACCGGACACCAGACCCGGACATGTTGTTCCGGACTGTCCGGAACCCGATCCGGACGTCGGTTGGTTACCATGCAAAAGACAAATTGTCAACCCACTATCTCCTAGGAAGATTTTCATGACCAGCCAGTCTGGACCGGCCGGTCACCCGGGCATGATGCCCAGGGGGGTCTGACGCCCGGGATACCCAGGCATGGGGGAAAAAAATGAAACGGAAAAAAAAAATTGGCGATGGGGGTTTTCCGTGCTATCGGAGAGGAGCTCAAATCCGGGCTCTTTTCTTTTATTTGAGTGTTGGCTTTAAAGGGGGGGGGGCAAGGGGGGTATAAATTATTTTTAAAGGGGCTGAAGGGTTTAAGGCTTTAAGGCTTAAACCACCAGTACCTGGCCCAGCTATCGAGTCCGAGCCTCGGCCGACCGGTAGGCCGATCCGTGCCGAGGCTCGGACTACCGGGCGCAGCCATCCCGAACGTGCAGCGTACACAACGAAAAAAACGGGCAAAAAAAAACAAAAAAAAACAAAGAAATAAGAAAAACGATTCCCGCTATCGTTTCGAAAAACGAAATGGGAATGCATCTTCCCGCTTTCGCGGGAACATGCATTCCCGTTTCGTTTGTCGAAGAGAGAGAGAGAGAGAGAGAGAGAGAGAGAGAGAGAGAGAGAGAGAGAGAGAGAGAG